GAAGTATTAGCGCGCACTGTATCACAGTACGTAGGCTGCGTATTCGACACGTATTAAAATACAAAATATGAAAACCCGTCCCGATTTTTCAGTGCACACGACACAGTTCCAGGGTCATTTGGCGTACCACTTGGCGGCACTCCACGTACCACTGCCGGTACGCGTACCACAGTTTGAGAACCACTGCTGTAGTTAATTGTTCAACGAGCTCTAAAATATTAAGACCTACCTTAATCCATGTTGACTATCCCCCAGGTTCTTACTTCTTCCTAGATAATTCTTTAGTTTAATTCAAAGTGTACTTTAACCGGTAGAATACCAGCAAGCCCTACATATTTGTTCATCTTCACTGAAACACTTCCTCTTCTGTGTTATGATTAAATACAGAACTCTGTCTCTCTGCGACCTGAGTCATATTGTAGATGGGTTTTTTTTTTGCTAAGGACCTGAGTAAAATATTCATATAATAAATATCTGTTTTGGTGTCTAAAAGTCCTCCATCTTTACCTCTAGGACATTAATCCCCATTATTATCCTAGATATATTTTACTTCATCCTTTTTACTTTCCTTTTGCTATTGTAGTGCTGAAAGAACCTTTCATTATTCATTTTAGCCTACGATGCAGCATTCCTGTTTCTCTTTCGGCCTCTCTAATATACTTTTTGCCTGCTTGAAATAGATAATGAATTAAAGTGAGCAGATTGCAATGAAGTGAATGTGTGCCTTCACGCCGTAACTGTGTCTGAATCTTTAGGGGGCTAAATGTTAAATGCGGTTAAATGGAACAGCCAGTGTTTCTGAAGTGCAGATAAGGATGATGGAAAGACATGTCAGCAATAATATGCACTGTTCCTTTTTGACTACATGCCATGCATGGGTCAGTGCTGATCATGAGCACTGTGGGCTGATTTGGGGCACTGTGATGTGTTTCAGGAGGGAACGGGAAAGCCAGATTTACAAAATGCACGGAGGTGATGTAGAGTGGGGTCGTTTGAATTGCACTGGCCATATAGCCCACAATCCTTTCTTAGGACATGTTAAAGATATTCCAGTTGGGTATGTAGCTCCCGCTGCCCTTGTGGGAATATGTGCTTTTATCTGAATATGACGGAATGTCTTCTTCATCAGGCCAGAGAGGGGACCTTCAACAAGGAAGCCTTTGATGACCTGTGTTGGATGATGACGTCCAAGAAAAATTACGACACAAACAAGCTGGGCATCCTCTCCAGCAGAGACTGCTTCAGACTCTTCTGCCTGTTCAACCTGTTGTCAGAAGACACCTATCCCCTCGTCATGATACCGGATGAGGCAAGGCAGACTGTTTCATTGGTTACAAGCAGGCATTGACATGGAGAATTGAAAAATTTTAAAGCATAAACGGTCTTGGTCGAAATTATTTCTGAATTTTCACATTTCCCTCACTC